AACAGAATTTCATTCAGAGAGAGAGAGAGAGAGAGACTTCAGCTTATATTTTCCTACTTTACTTCAGTAGCAGCTTGGACTGCTGTGAAAGTCAATGGAATTTTCAATTCGCAATTCAAATGTGCAATTATTTTCAGATACAACTTAAGTGGGCAAGACTGAAAGTAAAAATCTGAATTGTTCAGTACTCTGAAGATTATTGTGAAGTTTTGCCAAAGTTACACGAAAATTAACATAAATTTGTAGTTCATTAAATTCAAGACTGGAGACTGGAGAGGTTTCTTTATGACTTAATTTACCGCTCGATTTGGCAAACTGCAAATATTTCCGTATAAAAATGTTATAATAATTTAGAATAAAATTAAATACATAAATTTAAGGAAATAAAAATATTTTTATAAACATATATAATAAGTATATAGTACATAATATATATAAAGAATAAGTAATTAACTGTATTTCAAAGATTATTGAATGCACTTATTAAAAATCAATATATAATATTTTATTTTTTCCTAATATTATTTCTAAAATTTTATAAAATTCTAATACTATAATACTAAAACGTGTAGATGAATGATAGATATATAGCTGTAAGATGTAAATTATTCCCACGGTGATATGACCAGTCATTGATAAATATAAAGCTATATAAAAGAATGATAAAAGCCATATATAATACTACACCAGAACAGAGGATGACTAAGTGTACACAGGAGACAGGGTTTAAAGTCCTTAAAGACTAAAGTTACTATTGATATATATCATATAAAATATATATATAAAATTTGTTAGCGAAATCTCTCTATTCTGAAAATTAATATTACACACTATTTACTTTCTATAAAGATCTACTTATTTGAGCCAGAAGTTTTTTTCATGTTATTTTTCTTATTTATAACTATTAAACTTTAGAACATCGATGTTCCTAGTATAAGAAATTTTTAATCATATATCAATGCTCTATAACTCAATCATATAACAGAAAATAAAGTAAACCTGATCAGCATCTGTACTTACTAATTCCCTTAGGCTTTATATGGAAACTTTAATCTCCCAGTATATGTACTAATACTAATTCTTCTACACTTTAGATGGGTAGTTGGATCAATCAGCACTCACATTCGCATACAGCTTGGTCTATTATTACTTATATCTGTTATACTTTTAAGACAAAATTCAATCGTATAGCATATATTCAAATGCAAAATGCTTGATTATTTAGCATCTCTAGTTACGAATTTTACAGAACTTATATAGAATAGTATCAAATTATGTAGCAAATTTTTATACAGTTTGTTGGTAAGATACTTTAACGGTTAATTACATTGTATTTTGGTAGTGCAAAACCGGAAGTAATAATATATACTTATGCAATCTACAATATTCTATTAAATTTTAGATGAAGTAGGGATACCTATACTTATAGCAAATATAAGTATATAAGTATGCTGTAGCCTTGTCATCATTGTATAAATAGAGAAAAATTAAAGAATCAAACTGCACTGTTACCATTGATCTAATTCCTTTATTATAATTTTTACAAACTACAGTAGCAGCACGTTTGACTGAAGCCCATCAAGGACAATAGAATTTGAACAAATAAATTTTAATTTGTTAATAGAAATTTCATTTAAGCAAACCCGTCAATTAAAAATTGAAAGAAAGGTAGACTCATGCTACCGGCAACTCACATAAAATCAAAACAATCCCTGTACCAGAAAAACATGATTACGTGTTCTGAAGATCATTTGAGGATTTGCAATCAGTAGAGGCAGTTGCAATCAGTAGGGGTGCAAAATATTTCCCAGATACAGACGTTTATGACAACAATACGAAATTAATTATATGTAAAAATAGAAACAGGAACAGAAAAAAACTTATAATTTTATTTCACATAAAATTTTTATACGATTAATTATTATTTTTATTTTAATTAAAGAAAAGCGATAAGTATTATAGGGAATAATTACAGTATCTTGATTTTCAATCAATATCGACAGAAGCGATATTACATTAATATATTTAATTTTATATTTTTTTTGAATTGAGTTCTTTAAAATATTTTTTAAAATTCAAATAAAATAGATGAGATTATATAAATTATTATGCTTAGGAAACGTTTTCTTATTATTCTTGGGAACAGTGTTAGTTCGATGGTGAGGAGCACTTGATCATTAATGACAGAAAGTATAGTGACAAAGATTTAACCGTTTTTGAAACTATTAATAATATATAACATTAATAGGATAACATTAATATGATCTGATTAAGAAAATATTCTTCAGGGGAATTGTGGGTAAACAATATGAATGGTGAATAGCATTTCGTAGTAGATGACGAGCGCCGCACAGAATCTATATCGGTAATATATATTGTTACTAAGTATGATTTAGAAATGATTCTTTGGTTTCTAAGTGGTGCCCAGATTGTCACCCAGATATAACCCGATCATTGTTGGAATTAGTAATAATAATACAAAACAAATTTTATTTTTACTAGGTTTAAGGTCGCTTTAAATAAAATTTGTTGATTCGTAGATAGAAATAACAATTATTTATTAATATATATATAATTAATAATGAAATAATATTTATTAGCAATGCTACTGAGAGTGATTGAGAGAAGAACTTTTGACAGGTAAGTGACACTTTTTTATCTAAGACAAATGCCACCCAGACATAGATCCGATCATTTTTGGAAGTAGTGGCAATAATACATAATAAAATAATATATAACAGCAATAACATATTGTTATTATGGTTAGGAGAACCATTACGTCTGTCAAGATTAATTATTTCTTAATTTATTTTTGTATCTTGACTAGATTATTAAACAAAGAAAGTTGTTTAACGAAAAAAAAATTAAAATAAAGCTATTATAAGACATTTTATATAATTTCAATCTATCAGATCGCGAGGTAAAGAATTTTTCTTTGGTTATTTAAGTTTCTCTTTAAAATAATATTTTCGCTGTAAAGATTCGCTAATGAGATTATTACAATTTCATTATCATGTATATATTTGTATATGATGAAAGTGTCTTGATGTCTATGAAGTGTTAAATTTGGACGATAGTAACAGAAGTTTATTTTTCTTTAAAAAAAATTTTTTTTTTCAATATACATTAAAAGCAAGCACTTTAATAATTGCATTTACATATTAAAACAAAAAACAAAATTATTAAAATCTATATATTTTTATAAATATATAAATAGTTTGCATTTAGTTACTAAAACGGTACAAATATCAAATATTGTGACTTTCTTATCTCAAAGTACGTGTGACATTACTTTTGCTAAATCTGTTAAGTGATAAGAATTTATTTTCTGCTTTTAATCTTGAATTATGTAATTTAATTCTTTTTTCTTAATTAAAGATTAAAATAGTACTTCATTTAATTAAATATATTTAAAAAAAATTTAAAAATACTCAGTAGAAGCAACTTTTGTACATTTATATGAGGAACTAAAGAGTTAGGTTTGAGCAAATCAATATATTAAAAAACGCAGATAGTATATATTACCTTTAAATACTAATACAGTCAATACTTTCCTAATGAATAACGCCCCTCTTGTACGGTCACCCTTCTTAAATTGATAATTTTTTTGAAACAATGTGTTATATTTATTTTTTAGGTCTTTAAAAAAAAATTGTCTAACTATAAGTATCCGATTAAGAGAATTGTTACTATGCTACAAAAAAAGCAAAATTGATTATTTAAATTTTTTTAAATAGCAAGCAAAATAGCCTTTATAAGCCGAAATTCCAATTGTTTGGTTAAAGAGAGGATTTTATACAAATTTAGTTTTAAATGGGAACTTAAGTCTCTATATTTGATCTATTAGCCTTAATAGACAGTATGTACTATATATACAATAGACTGCAATATTTTATTGCTTTTGCAAAAATAATTTTAATCAGTGTTTCAGATTGAAGTTTTCTTATCAATTATATTACAATGACATTAATATTTAATTCAGCTCAAAAACAAATCTTGCAGTTTTTTCTAGACCCAGTGAAGGACCACTATAATAATTTATAGTAATATTTATTTTAAAGAGAACAAATATATTATTAATGCATGATTAAATACTGTAAAGCAACGTTAACTGCAATTAAATCTTTTTAAAAACGAATAAATATAAATTCCTACAAAGGTTCAAAAACCGGCGTATCAGGTAATTTTAGGGAAAATATCTACCTATTCACAATATAAACTACAAATAATACACTACAAAAAATATGCCACAAAAATATATTCTAATATTTCACTCCTTGGCACAATTCTAGCTACGCCACTGGGTCCAACTCATACTCGACTCAAAAAGCCTACCTCAAAGTGGTGATTACAACCGAGAAACAGGCAAAATGAGTCATACAAATCAGTTCACATGGAATAATGTCATTTGAGTATGGTTTAAGTCACCTATATACATAAAGGTTTTTTTCTAAAAATTTTTGCAAAATGCGGTATTTTTTCAGTCGCGTTTTACAAATTATAAAGTCCGAATACTTTGTAAACTAAACATATTCAACTCAAATAATGCAGGGTATTTATATATGATGCATGGTATTCAAAAGTAATAGAATACTTAACTTCAAAATTAAAATAATTATATATTTAAATTTGACTTATATCGATAGAATTATTAAAAATAATTTCAATCAAGTTTTTGCACCCAACAAAAAAAAATTAATAACATTGCGCTTTAACAGCCTACTGCAATGTAACCAATCAACCAACTGTTAATAACAGTGCTGATTATTTAAGTAACAGGTAATCATATTATCTCTTTTTAGCACACGCGACTTTAAACAAAAAACACAAGTGCGTCTATTGATGTGCGCTCAAGGAGATCATTCAAACAGAGAGGCAGGCAGTCATGTAAAAAAAAACCATACAAACAAGAAAACAATTCACTTTTTTCTGATATAGCACAATTCAAAGCAATAAAGGTTAAGCAAGTAAATAATTAATTTTTTTTATAAGTAACTTACTTTGTCTAGACACTTAAGCTCCTCAATGGGATAGACCACTTTTTGACAACGGGCGCAAGTTTTATTCATTTTTAGGCTTTGTTCACTTGCAGGCTATTTTTTTTTGTGTCTCCAATATATTTATATATAGATATATTCCTTTAAATCCAAAGTCAAACGGCACTCCTACAAAACGTATGGCTTATAGATTTCCTTTAAGCAACAATTTGCTTTTAGCAAATTTTGGCCCAAAAAATACCTTAAAATATTATTTTCATGAACCAAATTTTTTAAATCAAAATTTTTATTTATTTTCAATTATTTAACAATTCCCTTGGAATTTTCGTTTAAATATATTTGAATTTTACAATGATGGTA